TTGCTTGATCATGTTCCCTACCAAACCACTCTCCCACCTCGTTGAGGGTTTGTGTTTTGTTCTCCTCGGCTTCTTCGATTAAAGTTGTCCGAAGTTGCGTGATCTGCAAAGTAACGCTGGAAAATGTTCCGTTTGGAAAGCGATGATTTGGTGTTGTTGCCGCAGCTCCGACGCGAGATGTTGGTTGGCTTCGATAAACTGGTATCGTTGTGTAGCGATCTCTGATTCGAGCTGTGCAACGATCTCCTCGTGCTGCCGATTGGCTCCCTCTTCAACATTAGCGATTCTTTGATCATGAGCGTGTTCGGCGGCTTGGCGGAACCTCTGGTGTCTGTTTTCTGCTTCGGTTTCAAGTTCTCCTAGTAGCAACCTGGTTTGTTCCGGAGATTCACCGACCATGATATTGTGCTGAAAGTTCTGTTGCAACTGTGGCGCGAACGGTGCGGCCCGCGAAAGGAGTTCGGGCGTTTGGCTCGAACACATTAGTGCCTGCTGCGCCCTCTTCCAGGGCACCGTTCAGACCAACTTGCTCAGGAGCAGGCTGCGATAAGCCCTCAGGATACATATCGTCAGATCCCGGTTGCCACTTCTGTGGGGACCAGCTCAGGGCTGTCTCCCACACACCACCGTTTGTCAGAGTAACCAGAGGACTCGGTAGAGCCTACGGCTGATAACCTATAGTTTGGGCAATCCACCAATGCAATCCGTTAAGCCATGGAATCAGGAGTCAGGAGTGGTCACTGGAATCAGGAGTGCGCATCAGATGACTCTTATTCACTCTCACTTCGCGTCAGTGCTGCGATTTGATTTGCGCTTCATTCCTACGCTGAAGGTTTACGAATGAAAAACAAAACAAAAAACTACAGTTAGTGTCTGATGTGAGGTTGGTTTTGCGGGCCTTGTTTTCTCCGGGGCTCTCTTCAAGCCATCAGGTGTCAGGCATTGCCCCGAAGGACATCTCAAGGGATACGGGCTCTTTATGTCCCGCGGCTATGGCGCCCAAGAGGGAAGACCATGCCCAATTCACACTTGACACCGAACAGTCTCGGGGGACTGTCACGTCACTGAATGCACTCCATCCGGGAGATCAGAAAACTCAAAATGTTCAGTGCATCTCTCAATAGGCTCAGTTTACTATTCAGGTCTGTGTTGCAGTCCAAGGCACCGATCAACAAAGCCGCTTTTTCATCAGGGGTGAAATTCGGGCGAACACAGCGACGATCATCATAGGATGAAAACCATGCCTATGATGGTGTCACAAGCAGATGTATAAAGCAGGTACAGGGAACTGGCCAAGTTCCCCTTCCCATCCATGTCCACAGCTTCGTTGCAAGGACATGGATGCCACACGCCCCTGCTGACTGTGAGTATGTACTTCCTTGCGGAAAAAAGAACGGCTCCTGAAAGTGCAACGTACTTACTTACTTACATTTTGAGACTCAGGTTTCCCACACACAAATGCCCGTAAAAGGGTTGAGTTGCTTAGCCTTGTTTTTTACGAGACCAACAAAAAGACAAAATTGGATCAACTGCTGCGGCTCACGAGTTGTTGCGCCGCATAACCAAAAAGAAAAGCTTGATTCTAGGTAACTTGATAAAAGGTCTTATTGTTGTATGCTGTCTGTGAGATCAGGAATGGTCACTGGAATCAGGAGTCAGGAGTGGTCACTGGAATCAGGAGTGCGCATCAGATCACTCTTATTCACTTTCACTTCGCGTCAATGCTGCGATTTGATTTGTGCTTCATTCCTACGTTGAAGGTTTACGAATGAAAAACAAAACAAAAACTACAGTTAGTGTCTGATGTGTGGTTGGTTTTGCGGGCCTTGTTTTCTCCGGGGCTCTCTTCAAGCCATCAGGCGTCAGGCATTGTGCCCCGAAGGACATCTCAAGGGTTACTTTGCGCAGGTAGAGACGCAATGGGCATCCAAGCTCGCCTCGGTTTCGGCGCAACTTGCCGCTGCAACCACTGGCGAGACTCCGGAAGGCATCATCGACCTGACAGAGGACGAGGTGGCAGAAGCCGCAAAAGCAGAGAGCGAAGTACGCATGGACGTAGACAGGGAGACCAAAGCCTTCGAGGCGCGTCAGCAATGCCTGACAAGGGCCTTGAACACAGTCCTCAAGGATGCATCCGAGTCGGCAGCAAAAGCAGCGAACGATGCAAGGGAGCGCACCGCCCCAGGAAAAGCGAACAAGGGGAAAAGACAGACGAGTCGCCCCCTGGCTAGGCCTGTTTGTTTGCTTGCGAGAAGCAGGCAGGCCGTTTCATGACTCCGAAGCCGTTTTAGCCTTTCGCGGGTGCCATTCAGTGACCAACGATCCTGACTATGTTTCGCCGGCATGTGCAGCTTTTCTGGCGCTACAGCAACACCACGAAATGTGCTTTGAGGCGACTTCGTCGAGACATCAGCTCGCCGTTGCGCAAGGTGTCCCAGGTTCCGCAAATTCAGGTCAATTCCGGGTCGCAGCGCAGGCTGGTGCCGTTGCGCAAGGTGTCCCATATACAGGCTCAGGTCACTTCCCGGTCGCTGCGCAGGCTGGTGCCGTTGCGCAGGCTCAGGTCGCTTCCCGGTCGCAGCGCTGGTGCCGTTGTGCAGGGTGTTCCAGGTTCCGCAGGTTCAGGCCACTCCCCGGTCGAAGTGCAGGCTGGCGCCGTTGCGCAAGGTGTCCCAGGTTCCGCAGGTTCAGGTCACTTCCCGTTCCCAGCGCAAGTCGGTGCCGTTGTGCAAGGTGCCCAGGTGCCACAGGCTCAGGTCACTTCCCCGACGCTGTGCAGGCTGGTGCCGTTGCGCAAGGTGTCCCAGGTGGCACAGGCTCTGGTCGCAGCGTAGGTCGGTGCCATTGCGCAAAAGGTGTCCCAGGTTCCGCAGGCTCCGGTCACTTCTCGGTAGCGCAGGCTGGTGCCGTTGCGCAAGGTGTCCCAGGTGCCACAGGCTCAGGTCACTTCTCGGTCCCAGCACAGGCTGGTGCCGTTGCGCAAGGTGTCCCAGGTTCCGCGTTCAGGTCACTTCCCGTTCCCAGCGCAAGCCGGTGCCGTTGCGCGTGCCACAGGCTCAGGTCACTTCCCGGTCGCTGCGCAGGCTGGTGCCGTTGCGCAAGGTGTCCCAGGTGCCACAGGTTCAGGTCTCACTTCCCGGTCACTGCGCAGGCGGGTGCCGTGGCGCAAGGAGTCCCAGGTGCCACAGGCTCAGGTCACTTCTCGGTCCCAGCACAGGCTGGTGCCGTGGCGCAAGGAGTCCCAGGTGCCACAGGCTCTCGGTCCCAGCACAGGCTGGTGCAGTTGCGCAAGGTGTCCCAGGTGGCACAGGCTCACGTCACTTCTCGGTCCCAGCACAGGCTGGCGCCGTTGCGCAAGGTGTCCCAGGTGCCACAAGCTCAGGTCACTCCCCGGTCGCTGCGCAGGCTGGCGCCGCTGCGCAAGGTGTCCCAGGTGCACCGGTTATGGCGCCCAAGAGGGAAGACCATGCCCAATTCACACTTGACACCGAACAGTCTCGGGGGACTGACACGTCAATGAATGCACTCCATCCGGGAGATCAGAATCTTCAAAATCAAAATGTTCAGTGCATCTCTCAATAGGCTCAGTTTACTATTCAGGTCTGTGTTGCAGTCCAAGGCACCGATCAACAAAGCCGCTTTTTCATCAGGGGTGAAATTCGGGCGAACACAGCGACGATCATCATAGGATGAAAACCATGCCTATGATGGTGTCACAAGCAGATATATAAAGCAGGTACAGGGAACTGGCCAAGTTCCCCTTCCCATCCATGTCCACAGCTTCGTTGCAAGGACATGGATGCCACACGCCCCTGCTGACTGTGAGTATGTACTTCCTTGCGGAAAAAAGAACGGCTCCTGAAAGTGCAACGTACTTACTTACTTACATTTTGAGACTCAGGTTTCCCACACGCAAATGCCCGTAAAAGGGTTGAGTTGCTTAGCCTTGATTTTTACTAGACCAACAAAAAGACAAAATTGGATCAACTGCTGCGGCTCACGAGTTGTTGCGCCGCATAACCAAAAAGAAAAGCTTGATTCTAGGTAACTTGATAAAAGGTCTTATTGTTGTATGCTGTCTGTGAGATCAGGAATGGTCACTGGAATCAGGAGTCAGGAGTGGTCACTGGAATCAGGAGTGCGCATCAGATCACTCTTATTCACTTTCACTTCGCGTCAATGCTGCGATTTGATGGAAAAAACGGTTCCTTCGCACACACATACACACACACACACACACACTGCAACAAACACACACACACACACACACACCCACACACACAACACACACACACACACCCACCCACCCACCTGCCCTCCCACCCAGCCGGCCACGCACGCACGCACGTACGCACGCACGCACGCCCCACGCACGCACAAACACGCGCACACACACACACACACACACACACACATGCACACATGCACACATGCACACATGCACACATGCACACATGCACACATGCACACATGCACACATGCACACATGCACACGCACACGCACGCGCACCGCCACGCACACGCACACGCACACGCACACGCAACACACGCACGCACGACGCACACAACCAACACCACTCACGCACACGCACACGCACACGCACACGCACACGCACAGCACACGCACACGCAACACACGGCACCACACACACACACACACACACCACACACACACACACACACACACACACACACACACCCACCCACCCACCAACCACCACCCACCACCACGACGTTGCACGCGCTCGCGCGCGCACTTCGCCCCGCACCCGCACCCGCACAGCGCCACGCACACAGCTTACGCGCGCGCTCGCACGCGCACTGCCGCACGCGTACGCACGGCTGCACGCGCACACGCGCACGCACACGCGCACGCGCACGCGCACGCGCGCGCGCACGCGCACGCGCACGCACACGCGCACACACACACACACACACACACACACACACACACACACATCTTGTGCCCGCGCATTCGCGGGTCGCTCGTGACAGCGTACGTGCTTGAAATCACGCCAGGGCCACACTTTGGGTCACTTGCCGAAACAAAGCTGACCGGGTCACTCCTGCCCGCATTTTGGTCTTAAAGGCTGGCAGAGTGCTCGACAATTCGCATACCTGCCACGTCCTGCACGCGCAGCGGTCCACAGCGCAGCTCTTTTTGGGCGCGACGTGTTGCTTCTCACAGTGGTCACATTATGAGGCTTCGGTGTACCCGGAGTACGAATAGTACTGTTATTGGTCTAGCAGGCGTAGTATTACTACTACCTGTAAGCTTCGTGCCTGAATTGTCTGATCACTGTCGTACAGACGCACCGCATGCCTGCCCGCAAGGCTTACTAACTACTGGAAGTCCCGTCCTATATCTCCGCATGAACGCTGCGCAACTTGAAGTTGTGACGCTCCCCCGACAGCGGATGAGCCCAGCGCGCGGCGCGTGGGCAGGCTGCCCGGTGATCACCCAATGCGTCAGATCGGTACGCGGCAGCATATATCAGCATCAAGAGGCAGGAAGGCAGGAGAACACGGTACGCAGCCCAATCGAGAGGCAGCTCGGGCGCGTGGGGAGGTGTAGACACGACCGGCAAATTCGGCAAAAGGACCAGCCAGGAGCAGCAGGCAAGTGGATGCCCAGAGGTGTCAAGAGTTACGGCGAATGGCTGTCCTGTTTTGGAGAAGCAGACGCGTTGCACAGCTCCGAGTCGAAGGCGTGGTAGGCTAGCAGTGTGTGGTGTGAAGGCAGCAAAGAACTTGTCCGTGCCGAGCGCTGTGCCTAGAACCTTCAGGCCTTGTTGGCCCCGGATCTGAGTACTAAAACCCGTTGATTTAAAGATATGTTTTTGGGTCTGGGCCCTCCAGGAAGACTACTTTCCCATTACGTGAGCCAAAAACACCCAAAATGCAAAAAAGAAAGAAGCCCTAAGATTTATGGACACAAGATTGGCGGCACAAAAAATGTGGAAATGCTGAAGGCTACGGGAAATCCTAAACCGCCCAAGGCTTGAGGAACAAATCTAGCCCGTAGAAGGAGACTTACCCGAGCATTGAGGAAAATGCAAATAGGGAGCCAAGAAAAAGCAAACTGTGAAGGCTACAGGGAAAAATGAGGAACAAAAATTTGTGAGCCCGGGACGTGTAAAACACCCGAGACTTGAGGAAAACATAATCGGGAGCCCAGAAAAGCAAACTGTGAGAACGAAACAAGAATGGAGGGAAATCGGGGACCAGAAAAGGAAACTTACTGTGAGATCCTATTACAGGGAATAAATAGTCAATGCCGGAGATTTTCAATGATTTTCAGTCCTTTTCGGAGCCAAGTAAAGGTAAGTGAGTTGCAGCGAACAAAGAATACGCAGGAGTCAAATATCGATTCCATACGTATTCAACGGCGGGCGATGGCCGCGAAGAGGTGGTCAAGAGCCCGTCAGCTCGTTGACCTCTGACTCCGCGGCGTTCGCGGCGTTCACCATTATCAGGCACGGCGCGCAACGTGACCCAAAGCTCCAGAGTCTTACCATCGGGCCGAAGCTCGAAAGAAGAAGCGCAACACGGCAAAACGAATGCTGTTATGTTACGTCAACATAAGCAGTCGTTCCCAAGAAGGGACACACGATTGTAAGCAACAAGCTGGACCAAGACCACTGCACTCACTAATCACCGCCAGGACATGCAAATTCCCAGATCTCACAGCAACACGAAGCAATGCAGCCCCGTGTGTCTGTGCCGAGCTCCTGCGCTGAATTTGCTTGGCCGCTCCGCATGGCTTGCCTGGCTTCGGCCTCTGCCGTTGCATGCCATTCCTCCTGCCAACGCGCCAGTTGCTGAAGTGAGCGAAGTGGCGCAGGTTGCGCAGCCTCCGCGACCTCCCCATCGACGTGCCAAGCCCAGGCAGCCAACATCGAAGCCATGCGCATGTTGCCAGAACGCATGCCGCGGCACACAGGGTGTCAGGGTGTCGTTAGCATATCTACCCTTGAACCGTAACAGCACGTAGCGATGGAATCACGCGCGAAGAGGTCTTTCCACATGGCTCTTGCCAATAAGCCGCCGTAACCATTGAGCCAGGCTTTTATCGATTGAACAGGTTTCACTCACTGGCTCTTCTTCCAGTGTTGCTTGTGCGCAACAGACTTGACTTCGTATGCACCAGCTACCGGCAGCTACCGAATAGTAGTCCCGCCAAAAACGTCCGTCTGCCTACCAGATACATCCTTGTGCAACTTTCAGAATTATGTCAATTGGTGGGATGAGAGCTTTAGCAAGCACGTGCTGACACTCTCGCAGAAGGCAAGTGCGGGTAGTTGCCTCCACCTTGCTTTGTTACCGCTTCGGTGTCGAAGAGCATTCAAAGCAACAAAAAACAAACACAAGTTGGACAAATTTTGCACATTAATTGTTTCTCGCGCCGTTGCAGAACGAGCGCCAAGTTCTCAGTATGGTGGCTGACAAAATGGAACAAGGACAAACAACAAAAACAGAAGCAACCTCTACAGCACGCAATAGGTCGGGTTACACGGGCAGCGGCTGCACGTCGTTGGAAGTCTCCGGTGACAGCTAGATGTTGGTGTGCGCGATATCCCTTCGATCCTTTCCCCGCTTGGGTCACTTGGTGTCAGCCTTCCTCTGACACTAGCACGACAGAACCATCCACCAAGGCCGGAGGCCTGGCGTTTGGGCCGGCCACAGCGGGCCCTCTTTGGCCACCCCCACAGCCCACACGTCTGCAGCCTCGCGCTAGCGGTCAAATTGGCAATGTGTCTTTGGCCACTTTGGCCCTTTTTTCCCTTGTCGCAGTACCAGCTGTCAACGATCCCCGGGCAGAGATGCTCCAGCT